TCCACGTCCGGTGTCGGCATGTCGCCATCGGCAAAACCCTATAGCCCCGCGATCTCCAGCTAGGGCTCGATGGACTCCCTCCATGTGATAAAGGTCCCATCGACCTTGCAGCGGCACTTGCACATCGAACTTGTCCGGCGAGAATTTTAAGTAGCCACTCGCCGGCGCGATCTAGCCCGCCGTCACATGCGTCGTCTTCGAGAACCCACTGCTTCGTTCGGAACATGGACCGTCGACGTCGCCACGCGAGCTGCCTGCAGCCATTGTCGACCGCTGCACTCGCGCCGAACTCCCACCGACATCGACGTCGGTGGACCTGAGCACTCCTCTCTTCTTTGTACCCTCGCTGCCGCCGACTTAGTCACCCCCATCGACCTCACTAGAGAAAGTTGCATCACAGAAAATTGATTTCAGTCACAATGGCATGAATGACTACATAAGAGTCTAGCAACCTAGCAGGGCAGCTGTAGAAAATGGATTTCAATCACAATGGTATGAATGACTACGTAAGAGTCTAGCAACCTAGCAGGGCAGCTGCAAAAAAGTGATTTCAATCACAATGGCATGAATGACTACATAAGAGTGTAGCAACCTAGCAGAGCAGCTGGTCGACCGCCAGAGCAGCATGGTTGACCGCCACCCAGCGTTACGTAGAGGAGCCGCGCCAGCGCTGCAGAAAGGCGGCCTGCCAACAAAGCATGTCGATGGCGTGCCAACGCTGCAGCAAAGCGGATGTCCAGCGTTGCATCCGTAGATGACAGCAGTGTGCACGCTCGCTGGTGCGCGCAGATAATTGGTCCGACATGAACCGTCACGCATCTGTTGGCTGTTGTCTGCGCGAGAGGAGCCACATCGACTTCAGGATACCAGGCTGAAGTCGCCTTTGCCAACGCGGCCTCGTTGACATTCGCACGCCTTTTGCAGAACCTCGCCGATGTAACTTGGCCGACCAGGTGGAACACCCAGTGCCCTGGTTGACGACCTCTCTCATCGAGCACAGCTCGCGTCGAGGGCCGCCCTCGTTGACGGACTCCTCCGTCGACCAACACGGTTGACTGCAGCCGTCAAGCTCCATCTTTGATGGTTCCTCGACAAGTCTACGCAGGTCGGCAATCACCTTCATTGACCACACCTCTCGAACTAGGCCGTCGGCTTCCCTTCGTTGGCGGCATCATATCGGTTCTTTGCAGGTCCACCAATTCTGTCGACCTGCAAGCGTCGAACTCTGCGGATGGTTGGCTGCACCTCCCGCACACCCGACCACTACGTCAGCTTCGCCCAAGCGAGGGCGGGGCCAACACTCGATTCCCGGCAACACAAACCCTCCGTTCGGTGACGCTTTCCTTACTATGGACATCCCCGCCATCCTGTCATGCGCTACGGTCCCCTTGCTGGACACGAATGCCCTGCCCTCCAAATAGCCCTTTTGCCACCAACCCAATAACTTGTGAGAATTGAGTAATGAAATGAAGCACAGAGTTGGGTACAAGTAGGAAACCCTAGGAAACTGTACCCCATAGTGTCTACCCCACTATAACCTACACAAGCTATATAATATGAGTTTGACACACCCCCATAGGCAAAGTGGGGGAGAACAAGAGGTCACAAGACCAATCAAGCAAAGCAAAGCAAGCTCAGGGTGGATCACAAAGTCACCACACAATCCGAGCACAAGAGCAAGGCCAAAAGGCTAGTTTACATGCAAGATCATATATAAAGGCAAACAAGCAAGTGCAGGTATAGAAAGATCACAGTACAAGCAAGGTCAAGAAGTGAGCAAGTGAGGCCAAGTAGGCACAAGACCTAACAACGTACAGAAGTGCTGATGATCACAAGGCGGAAGGCCTTGGTAAAGATATGAGCAGTGTTGGCCTCAAAGGCCACGTAAGCAAGGCGCACCTGACCACGCTGCTGCAGCTCACGAGCAAGGAAGTAGCGAAGAGCAATGTGCTTCGTTCTGTGCTCCAGACTGTGCTCTCGACACAAGTTCAGCATGGCCTTGTTGTCTACGTACAAAACTGGAGGAGAACGAGGCGACTCTCCTAGGTCACTCAGCAGGTAGGTGAGCCAGGGTAGCTCCTGTGCAGCCATGGCCCCTGCGTAGATCTCAGCCTCACAGCTGGAGCTGACAACAGAAAACGAGCGGGTAGACCGCCACGAAACAGAGCCGGAACCAAGGCTGAAGGTGTAACCCTCTGACAACCGCTGCAGAGCCTGGTCGTCAGCCCAAGAAGCGTCAGCGTGACCTGTGAGGATCACTCGACGTCGCCCTCCAAGCACTAGCCCCATCACCGACGTACTGCACAAGTAGCGCAACACCCTCTTCGCTGCGGCCATGTGCTCTGGCCTGTGTCTGCCACGAGCAACATAGCGTGCCAAGATGCTAAGAGGGTATGCAAGGTCAGGTCGTGTGCAGGTCATCAGGTACATGAGGCAGCCAACAAGCTCTGGGTACGGGCCACTCGGCTCTACGGACTCATCTGAAGGCAGAGCTGAGAGCGAGTGGCGAGTAGACAGAGGAGTGGCCCGAGGCGAGGAGTACGTGAAGTCGAAGCGCTGAAGGACCTGCTGCACCATGTGTGACTGAGTCAAGGTAATGGTGCGCTGTGCTCTGTCCCGGGTGATCTGCAAGCCAAGGTAGCTGCGCAGTTCACCCAGGTCTGTGCACGTGTGTCTCTTCTGCAGCTCGGACTTCACGTGGGCTAGTCCAGCAGTGTCAGCAGTGGCAAAGACCAAGTCGTCGACGTACACGACGATGTAGAACGGCGGCAAAGAGGTGTCGGTGCGTAGAAACAGCAACGGGTCGGCTGTAGAAGGGGCAAACCCAAGAGCCGCAAGTGTAGTCCTCAGTGTGTCGTGCCACTCACGCGGTGCTTGGCGGAGACCGTAGACTGGCCGCGAGAGACTCGAGTGGGTACCAGGAGGAAACGACCCAGTGAAGCCAGGTGGGCGGCGCAGCCAGATCTCCTCGTGCAGGCTGCCATGGAGGAAAGCCGTGCTGAAGTCAAGAGAGTGAAGCTCGTAGTCGCGCTGAGCGGCTATGTGCAGCAGCACCCAAAGAGTGATCATCTTCGGGGTGGGAGAGAAGGTCTGAAAGTAGTCAACTCCTTGCCGCTGACTGAAGCCTCTAGCCACCTAACGCGCCTTGAAGACAGGCGGAGAACCCGGCGGCCGCTTCACCCTGAAAAACCACATGCCACTGACGATGTTCGCCCTAGGTGGGGGAACCTCGTCAACGTAGGTGCCTGTGGACTTCCAGGAAGCCATCTCTGCGTCCATGGCCGACTGCCACTGAGAGGAGTAGGGACCCTCGATCGCCTCAGCGTACGATCGAGGAGTCGGGATGTCTGGTGCATCCGGGTCTCCCTCAGGGGCAATCAGCGTGGACACAAGATGGGGCAAAGCAGCAGCAAAGCACTGGAACTCCTCCTGCCTGTCCTCAAGGACGTCCGTGCTAAGAGCACACTCACCCCCGACGGACGGAGGACAGACAGACTCAGACCCAACAACTAGACTAACAGCGTAGTCTAGACACCAGCGAGCCGCGAAGTCGACAAGCTCAGCAACTAGGGCAGACGCAGAAGTGGACTCAAAGGAAGGGTCAGTGACAACAGTAGCGAGAAGACGCGTGACAGAAGGACTGGCAGCACCAAGAGAGTCAGACTCCGGGTCAGCAAGAGTAGGAAGCAAGGACTCTGGAGGAGACGGTAATGGGACACGCAGAAGAGCAGTGGAAGGACGCAGCGCCATCTGGTGTGTGCCTGGGACGGCAGGAGGACGCGGACGCGCAGTACAAACACTAGTGTGAGCAGCACAAACAGGCGACGCAGGACGAGATGCAGGCTCACGACGCTCAGCAAGACTTCCAGTAGGACCAGTAGAGGGAGAAGGAGCAGGTAGGGGGGAGGCGGGCTGTAACTGTGACTGCGACAGGACAGGCTGTGGACACTCTAAGGGAGGAGCAGGACCAGTAGAGAGCGGGAGACCAAGAACCTGCTCCAGGAGCGGAACGAAGTACGGCCTCGGCCGCGCAGCGCCTCCAGAACCAGCAGGGACTGCACTAGTACCGCCAGCGACAGCACCAGCGCCAGTAGCACCTCCAGCTCCAACAGCGCCAACTCAAGCACCCTCAGAAGCACCACCGCTAGCAGAACCACCAGCGCCAACACCCCCAGCAGCTCCAGCTCCAGCAGCACCAGCACCGCCAACAGCTCCAGTAGCCCCTGCAGCACCCCCAGTCCCAGCAGCTCCAGGACCGCCAGTACGAGCACCTCCGGGACCAGTAGCAAGAGTAGCACCTCCAGCTCCAGCACCACGGCTCCAGTGGCGGGCAAACCACTCGCGCAGCTCATGTGGAGAGAGTGGCTCCCACCTCGACGAAGCACCGCCGGCGGCCACACGAGCAGACCTGGCACCCCCAGGCTCCGCACCCCCAGGCTCCGCACCCCCTGGCTCACACCCCCAGACCCAGCAACCCCAGGCTCAGCACCCCCAGACTCAGCACCCCCAGTCTCAGCACCCCCACACTCAGCACCTCCAGACTCGGCACCCGCAGGCTCAGCACCTCTAGCAGCACCTGAGTCAACAGCTACCTCGACAGGCTTGACTGCGTCTACCTGGGACACACCTGACGAGGTTGGACCTTGAGGGGGGAGGGGGTCTACCGGGGGAGGACCTGGCGCAAGGAAGAGCGGCGGCGGGGGGAGGGGCGCAGTGCGGTAGGGGAAGAGACGGTAGTAAGGCACCAAATCATCAAAGGTGACGTCCTGGGAGGACAGAACGCGGCGCGAGGTGGGGTGGTAGAACTGCCACCCAGGCGCGTCAGGGGGGAAGCCAAGGAAGACGCAGGGAACACCACGGGGGGACTGCTTGTCCGCAGACAAGTCGCGGACAAACGCCCGAGATCCCCACACCCGAAACGCAGACGCATCGCCAACCTTCCCCGTCCACCGCAAGGTGGGGGAGGTCTCTGGCAAGGAGACCCGGGGCTAAAGGTTGAGCTAATGAGCTGCGTACTGAACCGCAAACGGCAACAGAAAATGGGGGGCAGCCGCATGCATCATGGACGTACGAGCGACGTCCATGACCATGCCAATGCGGCGCTCAGCAATCCCATTTTGCTGTGGAGAGGCTGGAAGCGTGAAGGTCTGGTGGATGCCTTGTGCACGACAGAAGGCTCCTAGACAGGCAGAGGAAAACTCCCCGCCTCTGTCCGAGTGCAGACGCAGAACAGGAAAGTCCGAGCCAAAATTCTCCTTGAGCTGGAGACGAGCTGCGCGGATCCAGTCGAACAACACCTCATTGACGTCACCCTTGCTGTGCAAGGGGAAGACTGTGGTGTAATGCGAGTAGTCGTCAACCACCAGCAGGAAGTAACGCTCGTGCCCCTGCCCACGGACGTGGGCGGGGCCCCACACGTCCATGAGGAGGGTCTGTAGCGGAGCCTTTGTCGGAGGAAACTCAGAGGAGTGAGGGGCGGCGCGCTGTCGCCCCTCGACGCAGGGGATGCAGGTAGGGCCAGGCCTCGGAGGAAGGGGAGGAAGAGACTGAGGGAGACCAGAGACAAGGACTCGGGAGGCCATGCCGCGGAGACGAGGCAGGGAGGGGTGACCAAGGCGGTGGTGCCAGACGAGAGTCTGGTGGGACAGTAGACGACACGAGCAGGGAGCAGACTCAGGACCAGACCTGGACGCTGCAGCAAACACCTGACTCGACGCAGCTACCTGTCCAGACTCAGCAGCCGGAGGAGACTCAGTAGTAAGGGTGTACAGGCTCGACCCTGGCCGACGGGTGAACGTGGCCAAGTGTCGGCCTGTCCGAGCACAGGTGTAGTGGGTCACCCGCTGACTCGCAGGAGTGAACTGGTCAACCCCCCTATCCTATAGGTCCGCTCCACTCACCATGTTTGTAGAGAACGAGGGGAGGTAGAGACCTGACAGGGTGCCAAAGGGGGCTGCCGAGCATGGTAAGACAGTGGAGAAGCTAGCAAGGACATGACCCCCAGAGGGGTCCGCCAAGGAGACTGCAACCGGCCGACTGAGCGGCGTATTAGTGGTGCGGTCTCGAAAGAAGGAGCGAGACGCACCCGAGTCAAGGGTGAAGGTGTGGAAGGCCTGAGCCGACGTAGTACCTGAGAGAGCAGACTCACCAGCACCTGGGGCAGCAGACGCACTAGCACCTGGGGCAGCAGACGCACTAGCACCTAGAGCAGCAGCCTCACCAGCACCTAGAGCAGTGGCCTCAATTCCCGGGTCAGGCGGTACACACAGGTAACAGTCACCCTCAACACTAGTAGTCACAGTAACATGGCAGCAAGGATAGCATCATAGTCAAGATCAAAGATGGCAACCCCTGCCCTAGACAGCTCTCCCCAGCGAGGGATCTCTGACGCCTCAAGGAACTGGTGACGCCACGCGGCCGAAGCAGCGCTGGGCGGAGTGCGGGCCCCCGCACTGCTCACCAGCTCGGTCGCCGGTACGGAGGACGTAAGTGGAGGGACCAGTACCCCCACTGCGCGGACGCGCAGCGTACCACTCACGAAGCTGCTGAGGGGACAGGGTCACACCACTCCGCTGCTGCCGGCGCGGACCACCACCTGACCCACTCCTCTGCGCAGAGTCGCGACCCGCTCCACCACCGCCGCCGCCGCCGCCTCCGCCGCCTCCTCCAGCTCCGCCTCCTCCGCCACCTCCGCCGCCTGCGCTCCCTCCTCCACCACCGCCGCCTCCTCCGCCTCCACTGCTGCCGGCGCCGCCGCCACCCCCGCCACCACTCCCACCACCACCCCCACCCCCTCCACTGCCCCCACCACCACCTCCACTGCCCCCGCCAGCCCCTCCAGCGCCCTTGCCCCCCTTGCCCTTGCCGGTGCGGCGTCTCCCGCTAGGGGCAGACGCAGCGCCGACCGACTCGAAACCAACGAGGTCGGCCGCAGCAGCAGAAGCAACAGAGGGCAAGAGGGGGGAGGGGGAACACCCCTCAAGGATGGGGGTGCGAGGGTCACTACGAGAGGCTCCTACAGCGACTATGCTCTTCTCTGCTGCTAGGAGGCCCTTCTCGAGGAGGTCAACGGTGAGAGTGGTGGGGCAAACTGAGAGGAAGTGGTCCCTGACTACGCGGAGAGAGTTAGGGAGCCGGGTGACTATGTAGTAGAGGGTGATGTACATGGGGGGGGGGGGGGTTCTTGGCGCAGAACTCAGCAGGAAGCGCAGCGCGGTAGCGAGTGTCACTGGTGCGGAGGTGCGTAATGAGGTCAGCGACTGTGGGAAAGGCAGCAATGTCAGGGAAGAGGTACGGTGGCATGTGTGAGGCGGCTCAGTGCAGCAGTGGCAGGGGAAGAGTAGCGTGCAACTACAGCGTCCTACAAGGTCTGAGCACTCTTGTACTGGCTAAAGTGTGCACGCTTAGTGGTCGGTAAGTGGCGACGCACAGCAAAACGGGTAGCAGCATCGCGTGTCGCCCACTGTGAGCGAACCGTGCTGTCAACAGTAGCTGGCGGGGAAGGGGAGGCACCAGAGGTGAGGTCAAAGAGAGAGAGGCCGTCTGCCCTATCGCACTGGAGGAACAGCTGGAGGTCATCGACCCAGACCTCAAAGTCAACAGCACCGCCCTCAGTGTCAAATGTAAGAACACTGGGGGTAGCCATGACTGCAGAGGTCTAGCAAGTTGTGGGCTCACCAGTACGAATAAGTAGGGCCGGGGCGCGTCAGTAGGACTGGTAGCGGCTTAGCGGCTCGGCTGCTGGGCGGCTCGGCGGTCGGGAGGCTCGGCGACTCGGCTGCTGGGCGGCTTGGCGGTCGGACGGATCGGCGACTTGGCTGCTGGGCGGCTCGGCGGTCGGGCGGCTCGGCGACTTGGCTGCTGGGCGGCTCGGCGGTCGGGCGGCTCGGCGACTTGGCTGCTGGGCGGCTCGGCGGTCGGGCGGCTCGGCGACTCGGCTGCTGGGCGGCTCGGCGGTGAGAAAAGTAGAACGAGAATGAATGACTAAGGGAAAGTTGGGTACACGTACAAACCCTAGAAAGCTGTACCCCATATGTGCTACCCCACTATAGCCTACAGTAGCTATGTCATATAAATCTGACACACCCCCATAGGCAAAGTGGGGGAGAACAAGGGGTCACAAGACCAGTCAAGCAAAGCAAAGCAAGCTTAGGGTGGATCACAATGTCACCACACATTCCGAGCACAAGTTCAGACCACAAGGCCAGTTCACATGGAGGATTACATATATATATAAGGCTAAACAAGCAAGAGGAGGTGTATATATATATGCAACAGTACAAACAAGGTCAAGGGGTGAGCAAGTGAGGCAAGGTAGGCACAAGACCCAGCTGAGTACAGAAGCGCTGATGACACAAGGCGCAAGTGCCTTGGTGAAGATATCAGCAGTGTTGGCCTCAGAGGCCACGCTGGTGTAGCTCACGAGCAAGGAAGTAGCGGAGAGCAATGTGCTTCGTTCTGTGCTCCAGTCTCTGCTCTCAACACAAGGCCAGCATGGCCTTGTTGTCTACGTATAGCACTGGAGGAGAACGAGGTGGCTCTCCGAGGTCAATCAGCAGGTAGGTGAGACAACGAAGCTCCTGTGCAGCCATGGCCCCGGCGTAGATCTCAGCCTCACAACTGGAGCCGAGAACAGAAGACGAGCGGGTAGCCCGCCACGAGACAGAGCCGGAACCAAGGCTGAAGGTGTAACCCTGTGACGACCGCTGCGTAGCCTGGTCGTCAGCCCAAGAAGCGTCTGCGTGACCAGTGAGGACCACTGGACTCCGCCCTCCAAGCACTAGCCCCATGCCCGACATACTGCACAAGTAGCGCAACACCCTCTTCGCTGCAGCCATGTGCTCTGGTCGGTGTCTCCCAGGAGCAACATAGCGTGCGAGAATGCTAAGAGGGTATGCAAGGTCAGGTCGTGTGCAGGTCATCAGGTACATGAGGCAGCCAACAAGCTCTGGGTACGGGCCACTCGACTCTACGGACTCATCCGAAGGCAGAGCTGAGAGCGAGTGGCGAGTAGGCAGAGGAGTGGCCTGAGGCGAGGAGTACGTGAAGCCGAAGCGCTGAAGGACCTGCTGCACCATGTGTGACTGAGTCAGGGTAATGGTGCGGCGTGCGCTGTCCCGGGTGATCTGCAAGCCAAGGTAGCTGCGCAGTTCACCCAGGTCTCTGCACGTGTGTCTCTTCTGCAGGTCGGACTTCACGTGGGCGAGTCCAGCAGTGTCAGCTGTGGCAAAGACCAAGTCGTCGACGTACACGAGGATGTAGAACGGCGGCAAAGAAGTGTCGGTGCGCAGAGACAGCGACGGGTCGGCACTAGAGGGAGCAAACCCAAGAGCCGCAAGTGTAGTCTTCAGTGTGTCGTGCCACTCACCAGTGCCTGGCGGAGACTGTAGACTGGCCGCCGGAGGCTCCACTGGGTGCCAGGAGGAAAAGACCGAGTGAAGCCAGGTGGGCGGCGCAGCCAGAACTCCTCGTGCAGGCTGCCGAGCAGGAAAGCTGTGCTGAAGTCAAGAGAGTGAAGCTCGTAGTCACGGTGAGCAGCTATGTGCAGCAGTACCCGAAGAGTGGTCATCTTCAGGGTGGGAGAGAAGGTCTGAAAGTAGTCAACTCTGTGCCGCTGACTGAAGCCACGAGCCACGTAACGCGCCTTGTTGACAGGCGGAGAACCCGGCGGCCGCTTCACCCTGAAAATCCACATGCCACTGACGATGTTCGCCCCAGGCGGGGGTACCTCGTCAATGTAGGTTCCGGTGAACTTCTAGGAAGCCATCTCTGCGTCCATAGCTGCCTGCCACTGAGAGGAGTAGGGACCCTCTATCGCCTCTGCGTAAGAGTGCGGAGTCGGGATGTCAAGTGCATCCGGGTCTCCCTCAGGGGTAAGCAGTACGGACACGAGATGAGGTGAAGCAGCAGCCAAACACTTGAACTCCTCCTGCCTGTCCACAAGGACGTCCGTGCCAAGGGCACACTCACCCCCGACGGACGGAGGACAGATAGACTCAGACTCAGCGACAAGACTAGCACCGTAGTCTATACGACAGCGAGCAGCAACTACTAGGGCAACAACTAGGGCAGACGCAGCAGTGGACTCAAAGGAAGGGTCAGTGACGATAGTAGCAAGAAGACGCGTGACAGTAGGACTGGCAGCACGAAGAGAGTCCGACTCCAGGTCGGCAAGAGTAGGAAGAGAGGACTCAGGAGGAGAAGGCAAAGGGGCACGCACAGAAGCAGTGGACGGACATAGAGACATCCGGTGGGTGCCAGGGACAAGAGGAGGACGCTCACGCGAACCACGACCACTAGTGCGAGCAGGACGGACAGGCGACACAGGGCAAGACGCAGGCTCACGACGCTCAGCAAGACCTCCAGTAGGACCAGTGTAGGGAGAAGGAGCAGGCAGTGGGGAGGCCGGCTGTAACTGTGACGGGACAAGCTGTGACTGCGAAGGGAGGAGAAGGACCAGTAGAAGGCGGGAGACCAAGAACCTGCTCAAGGAGTGGAATGAAGTACGACCGAGGCCGCGCAGCGACTCCAGACACAGCAGGGACAGCACCAATACCCCTAGTGGCAGCACCAGCGCCAGCAGCACCTCCAGCTTCAGTACCTCCTGCAGCACCAGTAGCACCAGTACCACCCCCAGCAGGACCGCCTCCAGGACCGACAGCAGTAGCCTCAGCGCCAACACCCTTAGCAGCTCCAGCTCCAGTCGTACCCGCAGGCCTAGCAGCTCCAGTATTCCCAGTATGAGCACCTCCGGGACCCGCGGCAGCAGCACCCTCAGCAGTCCAAGAACCTCCAGCTCCAGCAGCATGCCTCCAGCGCGGGGCAAACCACTCGCGCAGCTCCTGTGGAGAGAGTGGCTCCCTCCGAGACGAAGCACCCGGAGAACCTCCACGTTCAGCACCGCCAGACGCCACACGAGCAGGCCCAGCTCCCTCAGGCTCCGCACCCCCAGGCTACGCACCCCCAGGCGTAGCACCCCAAGGCTCAGAACCCCCAAGCGTAGCACCCCAAGGCTCAGCACCCCCAGGCTCAGCACCCCCAGTGGTAGCACCCCCAGGCTCAGCACCCCCAGGCTCAGCACCCCCAGTAGTAGCACCCTCAGGCTCAGCACCCCCAGGCGTAGCACCCACACGCTCAGCACCCCCAGAGTTAGCACCCCCAGGCTCAGCACCCTCAGCAGCACCAGAGTCACCAGTAACCTTGACAGGCTCGATTGCGTCTACGTGGGACACACCTAAAGTGGCAGAACCTTGAGGGGGGAGGGGGTCTACCGGGGGGGGACCTGGGACAAGGAAGAGGGGTGGTGGGGGGAGGGACCGAGTGCGGTAGGGGAAGAGGCGGTAGTAGGGGACCGACTCGTCCAACGTGACGTCCTGGGAGGACAGAACACGGTGAGAGGTGGGGTGGTAGAACTGCCACCCTGGCGCGTTAGGGGGGAAGCCAAGGAAGACGCAAGGAGCAGCACGAGGGGACAGCTTGTCCGCAGACAAGTCGCGGACAAACCCCCGAGATCCCCAGACACGGAACGCCGACGCATCGCCAACCTTCCCCGTCCACAGCAAAGCTGGGGAGGTCTCCGGCATGGAGACCCTGGGCTGAAGGTTCATCTGATGCGCCGCGTACCGAACCGCAAACGGCGATAGAAAATGGGGGGCAGCCGCATGCATCATGGACGTACGGGCGACGTCCATGACCATGCCAATGCGGCGCTCAGCAATCCCATTTTGCTGTGGAGAGTCTGGAAGCGTGAAGGTCTGGCGGATGCCTCGTGCACGATAGTAGGCTCGCAGAAGGCCAGAGGAGAACTCTCCGCCTCTGTCAGAGTGCAGACGCAGAACAGGAAAGTCCGAGCTGAAGCTCTGCCTGAGCTGGAGACAAGCTGCGCGGATCCAGTCGATCAACACCTCAGTGACATCACCCTTGCTGCGCAAGGGGAAGACTGTGGTGTAACGCGAGTAGTCGTCAACCACCAGCAGGAAGTGGCGCTCGTGACCCTGTCCACGGACGCGGGGTGGGCCCCACACGTCCATGTGAAGCGTCTGCAGCGGGGCCTCTGTCGGAGGAAACTGGGAGGAGTGAGGGGCAGCCTGCTGCCGCCCCTCGACACAGGGGACGCAGGTAGGGCCAGGCCCCGGAGTAAGGGGAGGGAGGGACCGGGGAAGACCAAAGACAAGGACACGGGAGGCCATGCCTCGAAGACGAAGCAGGGAGGGGTGACCAAGGCGGTGGTGCCAGAGGAGAGTCTCGTGAGACAGGAGGCGACACGAGCAGGGGGCAGACTCAGGGCCAGACGTGGACGCCGCAGCAAACACCTGATCCGACGCAGCTACCTGACCAGACGCAAGGACTGGAGGAGACGCAGTGGTCAGTGTGTACAGGCTCGACCCCGGCCGACGTGTAAACGTGGCCAGGTGTCGGCCTGTCCGAGCGTCCGTGCAGTGGGTCACCCGCTGACTCGCAGGAGTGAACTGGTGAACCCCCGTATCCTGTAGGTCAGCACCACTCACCAAGTTCGTAGAGAACCAGGGGAGGTAAAGACCAGACAGGGTGCCAGAGGGGGCCGCTGGACACGGGAGGACAGTGGAGAAGTGAGCAAGCACTGGACCCCCAGAGGGGTCTGCCAGAAAGACTACAACCGGCCGGCCA